AGCACCGTTGGGGGCATCGGCAGGCGGTCGCCGATTGCTGCTGGCCACTGCCACCACTCCTGGCGGGGTCTATAGGTGGTCACCACCCACCGCTCACACCGCCTTGGCCGCCTGTGGGAGCTCCCCACTTGCCACTGCCACGCCACCACCGCCACCACCTGCAGGCGGTCACCATGCCCCCCCAGCCTCTGGGGGCACACGTTGTTCATGTTTGGAAAGCATGACTTATGAGGAAAGGCTGAAAGAACTAGGGTTATTTAGTCTGGAGAAGAGAAGATTATGGGGGGGATTTTAGCAGATTCAGGATGCAGGACCTGAGCACCCAGAACTACAAGGGGAGGCAATGGGAGTTGTAAGTATTGAGTCCATTAGAAAATCAGGCCTATTGTGCTTACGTAATCCTTCTTTTGATATGCTGAGATGTCAGCTTCTATGACTGCCTCCTATAGTCTCCTAGGGCACTTGTACACAATGTTGGCTTTTTCTAGCTAAAGATAATCCCTGGGTTTATTTCCGTCTTGCAATGTACCATGATGATTCTTTAGTTACTCTCAACTCCACCTTCGTACAATACAATACAATTTTATTTTGTATGGTCTCTTTTATTGTGTGTCAAAATGCTATACAAAATACAGTATGTATCTCAGACTGCTCTATACTGCTGTAAGTATAACAAAGCGTTGTACACAAAACAGTAAATCTTTCAGTCACAAAGTTAATAACAGAAAAAGAATACATCTGACTAGAGAAGAGATTTGAAGAAGGATGGGCAGAGAACAGTGTGTTGTTATCCCTTGTGTGAGTCCTTCAGTCTGTTGCTAGTTCTAGTAATGTTGTTCATGACCTAACCAATTTGAATGATTTCTGAATGTAGGACTTGATAAATGCTTTAGTAAAGTGCAAATGTTATATTTACAATGTTTATTTTTATCCACTGATTGTACAGTTAAAACTAAATAACCCCTGCCCCGGTTTGTCTGACAAGATTTATTTGTATTTGCTGCATGTAACTGATGATATCATTATCTTTTTGGCATTTAATTATTTCTGTAACTTTCTACTATCCTTTAATTAAAGTTAGAAGATAAACATAATAAATACATGTGTTTATAATGTGCCAACCTCTATCCTACACAAGTTCTTGGGGTACTTGAAAGGGGTGCTAGAGAGCAAATTTACCAAGTATCCCAGATTTAGTTCAAGGCAAAGGGTTAAGTAGTTGGATGGAATACTATTCTCCACCCACCTCTCTACTTTGGCTCCCCCTTTTACTGCTCCAGGTAATATTCATCTACAGGTTTCTAGACCCTGTGGAAACAGTGCCCAGAGCCAGAGCATTTAGAGCTCAAATTCTTTTCCTGCATTAAATATATATTCATAATGAGTAGAATTCATACCTGTGTTGAGGGCTATGAATGGTCCTTGCACAGTATGATCAGAGATTCTAATATTATAAAAGCCTAAATCTGTCTGTCTGCCTGCCTGTCTGTCCATAACTCTTTACTTGTGCTCTGATTTGTTGACAAACAGCCAATCAGAGTGCAAAGAAGCATTCTGACAGAAGACAACCTGCCACTGTGATGGTGGGGACACAGGGGATGGAGTGGCTGGCAAGGCCAGCCCAGTGGTGGCACTCCATCCCAGCCCCCTCCCCCCCCCGGCATTCTTGATGGGCAATTGGCTAGTATTACTATAATTATTCATTAGATACTTTCCTATTAATTTAAAGTTAGCTACCTTTACTCACCTTTATCTGTTGCTATGAACACTTGTACACTATTTTAGAATGACACAGCCTGTCTGCCATGCTGAAAAAGATTAGTGCTTATTGAGCAGTGACAACATATAAGGCAGGTTCAGATTGGCAAGGAAGCTGACTGGTTTTCAGAACTGGAAAAGAGATCACACTTAATCATACTCCTCTTTTTGGTTGATGTTTTCTTGCATACAACACACCCTGAATAAGGCAGAATGAAGAAATAAGGAACAAAAATCTTTTGGGAAGTAATTAAGGAGCAGTAGCCCAGCTCGCTCATTGTTCTGCTCCCCATGGAGCCAGTACAGAGTTATTTTCACTTTCACTCAGCAGAGGTTTAAGCAGCAGAAACCACTGTTACTGTATTTTCTCACTTAGACTGTGCACCCTAATTTCAAGGAGTTTTTTTCTTTTTCAGAGAAAGGTGTATGTTGTATACAAGAAAATATGGTATTTTCAAGTTCTGTCTTTACTGATTATAGATATACCTCCAGAGCCAAAAAGCAAAGAAAGGGTTAGGACGTGCTTATAAACCAACACATCCTTATTGATCCATTTACTCGGTTAGCTCCCCACAGTATCCCAGCCAGGGTAGCTGTGAGGGGCCTGTGAGGTGGGGGGCTTCCCTTCTCCCACCCCCCACCTGAGCCTCTTAACAGGGTCAGCAGACAGCTGCAGGCTTGGCTTTGTTGTGGCCAGAGCTGGGGAGGGGAGGCAGGGATGGGGAGGCTGCTGGAGTGCCCTCACCTGCTGTCCAGGACTGGTGCAGGCAGGCTCGTGCTCCCCCTCCCCACCCCTCCCTGCACCCAACACATGAATGCCTGTTTGGTTCAGTGGTGCTCTGACTCATGGCACTTTACAAAAAGCTCTAAAAGTTAGAGTGCCTCTCCACCAGGCTGCCTAAACATCTGTAGGCACCTGTAGAGTGCCACAAACCTTAAGTAGTTTAGTCCCAAACAATCCTTCTGACAGAGGCAAGTATTTTATCTGTTTTAAAGGTGGGCAAATGGAATTTATGGCCTAAATTTCTAGAAATAATCCATTAGTTTTAGATGACTACCATGAGAAAGTTTGAGCCTGTATTTCTGAGGCACTGAAAATACACAACTTGAAACAAAATCAAAGAGACAGACCTTTGAAAATCTGACCCATAGTATCTTATATTAGTACCAAAACAATGAGGAACTAAAAATCTAATACCTTCCCCTATAATTATTTTTCTGTTGGAGTTTATAAATGTTCCTTGTATTTTATATTTCCTTATGTTTGCACCTGGTTCTGTTGTATTCATGTTTTTGGGTTGTTCTTCTGTGTGTGTGGTTATTTTTATTAAAAAAGAATTCCCTCTTTATTTTCCCATCTCATTAGCTCTGGCAGTCTTGGTTATTATAAACTTTCATTTTACTGATCTTTTTTGTTGGTTTGTTTACATATTTGAATGAAAAGTACAAAGAATTGACGGTTCTCAAGAAGCCAATGTCATGAAAAGCTGTTCACAATCAAACTGAACTAAGCTCTTTCAGATGCTTCTATTTACTGTCAATACAACAAGGTACTTTCTGGTGCATGATGTGTCATGGAGTGCAACAGAGAGGAAAAAGCTTCCCACTCCTGAAAGTCCCTTCACTGCAGGCAAATCTTTTCTAATCAGGCTAAGGACTAGTTGTCCCTGAAGTTTGCAAGATGAATTGATGGACCTTGCTAGCATGCCTCCTGTATCCTTTATCAGTTTAGGACATGTACAATTGCTCAGTTCAGAGAGCTCACATATAAACCTCCACAAAGAGAGTGGGTGGTCTAAAGAGGAATTGAAGCCATGGCTGTTCCTTTACCAAAACTCAGAGGAAGCTAGACAGCTTCAGCTGAGGGAGTTAACTGAAATGTTTGCATATCCATGTATAAGAATTTACCCTTCAGTAATTAATTCTGTTCAGGGATACCATTCCGACATGAAGTTATTGTAGTTACCAGAAGAAATGCCTGGTGTAAGTAAAGCCTAACTTCTTTGGAAACCCAAAAAATGTTTTTAAAACCACAAAGTCAATATTGTAATAGTGGTTTCCCTTCAGTGCCAAAGTCCAGCGTTCCATGACATGCCATATGCGCTTGTGGATGGTTATCAGTGGAACATCCCTGGGATCAGTTTCAATGTAAATCCTATTTATTTTTGGTGACTTTTTACTGATTATGAACCATGCCTGTTAAGTTAATGATTATGCTGCAGTACCTTTGGCACAGTGAGGCACTGGTGAGAGTTTAAATTGTTGACATTGTTGTGTTTTAGATTTTTCTGAGAAAATGTTCCGAATCCTGGCAATCCTGACTCTGAAGGCACAGCTCCACCTCATGACAGGTAAGACATCCTTTTTTTCAACTGTCATCAGTACAAGGCGTAAGAATTCTGCTACAGCCTGCAATAGGCATTTCAGAGTCTTCAGCCAATATTTTCAAAAATGACTAGTAATTTGGGGAAGCCTTGGTTGTGTAGTGTAGATACTTTATGGAGGCCTACTGTAGGTACTTCACAGAGGCCCAATTTTCAGAGGATGAGTGCTCAGCACTCCCTGAAAATGAGATTTCTCATGTTGTGCATCCAGAAATCAAGACATGTATAGTTACTAGGGATTTTAAAAATCTTGGGTAATTTCCTCCAAATGGAACCTGTTGATTTTTCCACATGCAAGAAATATGGGCTTTTTGGTAATATTTTTTAATGAACTAACTGCATAATTGGGAGAGATCTTAGAAAAGTTTGGGGGCACAATGCACCCTTCTTCAGATCCCATAAACAGCCATTTTATTAACCTATTCCTTCACGCTTCACTTTGCTTTTTACACCTCTTCTTATTGACCTATCTTCCATCAACATGGCAGGTGAATTCTTAAATCATCATTCTTAAATTATCAGAAATTTGTCAGGGGAACAAGCCAACAAACAGACATTTTTGTTCAGAACTGCTGATTCATCTAATTCAGGGGTGAGCAAAATGCAGCCCACGGGCTGGATGCGGCCCACCAGGCCATTCTATCTGGCCTGCGGGGCCCCTAAAAAATTTAGAAAGTTAGTATTTATCTGCCTCTGGCTGCCTGTCATGCAGCCCTCGATGCCTTGCCAAAACTCAGTAAGCAGCCATAATTGCCTGCCCCTGAATTTTGAAATACTTTGTGAACACGTGTTGGATTTTACAAACTTCTAGTGACACAGAGAGGAAATTAGTGTTAGTTTGAAGTCAGGCAGAAGGCAGGGTAAGACGGCACAATAGGAACTAACTCACTCAGATACATAGGCAGGGTTCCTCCACAAATCCATCTCATTCCCTGACAATTCACTAGGCAGATTTCTGGAGACCCCAATATTTGCACGGGCTGTGGCTCTGGGTCTGCTGTACATATTGCTGCAGAGCTGGAAGCCAAGCCACAACTAGAGTCAGTGTTTTTAGTACTTTTAGGCTTCTGGCTGCTCAGAGGCCTTCAGCTTTCTAGTTCATTCCCAGTCTTCTAGCTTAGGTCTTCAGGCTCTGTTTCATATTGAACCTTTCTAACCAGTTATTTTTTTTTCATATTGTGCTTTCTCTGTTAAGACTAAAAGAACCCTACATTTCAGCTTGAAACTGAATTGAATATTTTTCAGAATTTTCCATGGAACAGAAATTCAGTGCAACTACAATATATGACTTTAATTAGATAAAAAGTGAAACTAACCAGCAAATAACAACAAAGGCCTCAAGGGACTGCAGCTGGATGCTCTTTGCTGCAGCTACATCTAGTCCAGTCCTATTGTTAAACTGTTCATAATTATTAAATATTTGTCTTGATGTAGCACTCAAAGGCCCCAATCAGGATCAAGGTCCAAAGGCCCCATATGCCAGTGCTGCATAAATGTATTAGAAGACACCATTAGGGATGCAAGACAAAGAAAGGTTAGGGAAGAGATACCTTCTAGCTTAGTTCTCTCTCCCTTGATAACAGTAGTTTGGTCCTCTAGGGAATATATCAAGTATTCAGAGCTTTATTCAGATGGTATAAAGCCAGCTGAACTGCCTTTTTCAGACAGATCTCTTATGTAAGTATGTGGCCTTCTGTCACCATACTATGTGAGCATTTTGCAATCACATGTGCGCGCACACACACACACATCTATCTGTCTGTCTATCTATCTATCTTCACCACACCCCGAGAAGGTAGGAAAGTACAGCTATCCCTGTTTTTAAGATGGGGAACTGAGGTACTGAGAGATGAAGAGATGCACCTAAGGTCACTCAGAAGGTCACTTTATGGCATCAGGGAACTGAACTGTTTAGTCACAAACTTGTGAACCAATAGCTGAACCGTCTTCCTTCTTTAGAGCTGGCTCTGGGTGGGAGCCTGGCCAAACCAGCATGTCACCCTGGCTACTCATGGCTGCTGCCACTTCCCCTAGTTTAATTCTTGTTATTGCAGCCAGTGTAAATAGGGCAGCTTCAGGGCCAAGGCAAAAAGGGAGGTGATAAAAAAGAGGTCGATTTACTGACCCGCTCCTTCCTGCACCCTGTGCAGCAGGCCTGGAATGGAGAAGTTAGCCTTTCAACTAGAAAGAGACTAGCAGAATGTTAGAGGGAAGAGGGTGTGACAGGCTTTGAGGAGACTGAATTTCTGGGGTTCTGTCACTTATCCCTATGCCCCTTTGATTTCACTAAAGGCTTCTTAGAAAAGAGAGAGGCCTGATTCTTCATTATGGCCCAGCTCAAGAATTAGGGCTCTAAGAAATTGATTGCAGATCCCAGCTCTTCAGCCAGGGAGTCTTGATGAACAGTCTGTCCTAGCTTTGACCACTACCCACAAACTTTCATGGGTGGATCAGGACAGAAACAACCCAAAACCAGGCATAATGAAGCTCCGCTCTCCCAATTCTCCTACACTACCATCCTCACCCATATCTTTACCTTTGCATAGTCTGTCCTTTCCATTGTCTTGAGAAGGCAACTAGCATAGGAGGTAGTAAAATTGCTTTTGTCAGCTTTCTGTGGATGAAGACTTCCCCTATGTAAGGGGAATTCTTCACTGACTGTCTCTGGACATTTTAAGATCACTTTGTACTACATAAATAGTACAAAACGGGCTTAGCAGACAAGAGAATTTAACTGAAAAGATGTGTGAAATGCTGCTCAGGATCAAACCTTCACGTTGCTTGTTCTTAAGATGCAAATGGAACTGATAGCACATGCATATTCCTTCTTTCTTTTTGTATTTCACTTTCACCACCAAGTGCATCTGAAACACCGTCTTCTGTGTAGATATTATCTCATAAATAATATAGATAGAAAAGGAAGTTGCATACAACTGAAAAAGCAACCACTCTACTAAAGAAAAATTAAACTTTTCTTACTGGTATGCCTAATTTATATTCAAAATGTAAGGGCATGTAAATAATTATCTGCATTTCAGTTTTGCTTATCACTAAAACTATTTTCAAGCACTTCTGAATGACACCTACCAACATAGCTAACATTAAAATAAAAATAAAACATATTGAATGTTAAAGTGGAAATGACTTTGTAGCTCAAAATTTTACGGAATAAACTATGTGCAGGAATAAGTGTTTCAATGACTGTGGCCACGTCTACATGAGATGCTTACTGTGCAGTTGTTACTATGCAGTCATTTAGTACTTATTTATACAAGTACTAAATGATTGCACAGTAACCAGAGTTACTGTGCATGATGCTGACTACCCAGTAGCTTGTGACAACTGTGCAGTAGTGTTGTGTCACACTTCCTGCCATGCGACACTACTGCACAGTAGTCACGGCAGTCAGCGTTTCATGTAGATGCAGCCTGTATGGCTCTAATGTCACTCAGTGTACTAGAGGTGGCTAACTGAGTAGATCATTTTGCCTTAAGTGCATAAGTGACCTTGAACCTTATGCTGAAATAAGTGCATTGGCAGGATTCATTGAGCTCATTCACAAGAGTGAAGTGCTACTCCCCATGAGTATATGTGATAGAATCAAAACTGCAGTGATAAGTCATGACTCTACTGTGTGGTCCTCCTTGTTCATACATTCCTTTGGGCAGATGTACTTACAATGGGCAAAAAAATTTGCATTTATGTAATATCCCAAAAGTTACACTTGATTTACACTGGTTAAACCAGTGATTCTCAATCAGGGTTCTGTGAAACCCTGGAGTGCTTTGAGATCTTTTTAAGGGTGCAATACGGTGCTGCACAATATTAGCACTGTTAGATGTGAAAACAACCATATGATTCACAAGATAAACACAGGGATTTCAAATAAGAATCCATAAGTCTGACCTACTGTGATCTTTCTGATTACTTTGCAGCAAAACAATTGCTCTAATATTTTTCCACAGTCAAGAAACAAATGAAAGCTAAGAACTGGCATCTGCTGAGGGGTGCCTTGAATCTAAAAAGGTTGAGAACCATTGACTTAAAGGTTTAGAATCGCCACAAATAGTTGTTCCTTGTCGTGGAACATCCAGACCTAACAGTTACACTTGTAATTTGTAACTTGTATAAGTTCCAAATCTGTATATTTGTCATTCCAGATGGGTCTTCCTTATATAATGGTCCATCCAAAAACAATCATGAGTTATTTCTGAAAAAAATATTTCTGTAGAGAGCCTCAGCTTGTTCTTTGTTCTTCCTCTGTTTTTTTGGACTCTGAAATCAGTATGAAATAAAGATAAATTTTATTTTTATGCTACCTGTACGGTAAAAACTGTTACTGGTAGTACCAAAACAAAGCAAAAGGGCTGCAAAGTCAAAGACTACTCAATAGTTGTGAATGTTTGATGACTTGCCACCTTTTGTCTTAGAGGCAAAATTAGAGGGAAAGTTATAATGTGTGCCTACCGGGTATCATGATTTTTTTCCCTTAGCTTTATTCGTAGTTGAAGTTCCCCAGGAACTATACACTGTAGAATATGGAAGCAACATCACCATGGAATGCAGGTTTCCAGTGAATGGAGAGTTAAATCTAAAACTCTTAAGTGTTGTTTGGGAGCAAAAAGAGCAAAAAGAACAGGAATCCAAAGAGGTCTACACCCTTCACAAAGGAGAGGAAATCCTTCAATCCCAACACAGCCGCTACCAGGGAAGAGCAACATTGTTACATGATCAGTTGAAATTGGGACGCTCTGTGCTTCAAATCATAGATGTCAAGCTCATGGATGCAGGGTCTTACCGCTGTCTCATTGACTACCAAGGAGCTGATTACAAATACGTTATTTTGAAAGTAAAAGGTTAGTGACCAGACTCTCGCACATGGGTAGCGGGTTAATTAAAAGTTTGTTTTTTACATGCTAAAATCAGCATTAAACTTCTCCTTTTGCTACAAAATTCTTTGGCTTAACCCATGGATACACCAGGACATCACTTGAGGTAGCTGGTTGAGAGAGAGAGAGAGTAAAGGTGACCGTTTTGCCACCTTTCCTTGGCTTCTGAAGCCTGCTTTGATCTCAGTACTACTTGGAGCAGCCATCTATTAACCATCCAAATAGCTGGGCATTCCATAAGTGATTGTCCCTGTTGGAGCAGGCCCTTGTTGTCTTATGTGTTTCTAGCAGCCTAATATATAATAATAACATATATAAGTTGTTAAGCAATAATTTGCACCAATTTAACTAAGGGCAGAGCTTGCACCAAGGCCCTTGTTACTAATCATGCCATGGCAATGAGCTTGCAAGGGAGAAACCTTTCTTGTGCAATCAGGGAGATGCTAGTGGTCCTTTGGCTTGGGCTTGCAAGGACTGACTCTGTTTCATTCCAATATGATGATAATGCCACAGCTGTCTCTTACCTGACATCACTCACACATTCTAAATGTCCATTTTTCTCCCAGATGGCCCAAATTATTTTTATTATATCACTACTATGATTTCATTTATGACAGTAGTGCCCAGAGACCCTGATGGTGCCCCATTGTGCTAGGCTTTAGTATTCTGTAGATCAGGGGTTGTCAACTGGGAATATGCGTACCCCTGGGGGTACTTGAGAAGGCCCTAGGGTGTACACATGGGCAGGCACGGATGGAGCACTGCCACGTAGTATCCCATGCTGCCATGCAGTCTCTGCCTGCCCAGCTAGATGTGGGGGGCAGGAGAAGCTTGCACGTGGCAGCTGCTGCCACTATGCATTCAGTTGCGTGCTACCCGCCCCCTCCCCCTGCATCTTGGGGCCAAGGGTACACTGACCCCAAAAGGTTGAAAACCCCTGCTGTGGATCCATGGATTCCAAACTCACTATTTACTATTGATCTTCAAGGAGTTAACTGAAGAAAAAGGAGTTATTGTAGGCCTGAAAAGGATTGAACAGTCACTTCCATCATTTCAAAGTCAAAGGGCATCTGATATACATATATTGTAAAAAGAGAGGGAGGAAGGGAGAAATAGTAAAAAATATTTTTAGCAGTAACTTTACTATTTTTAACAGTGAGTAAAATTTTTCACAGTAACTCAACTTTTTCTTATGCAGCTTCCTACAAGAAAATACACATCCAAGGAAAAAATAAACCGGATGAAGAGAAATTGGTTTTAACTTGCCGGTCGGAAGGATTTCCCCCGGCTGAAGTGTTCTGGCATAATGAAAAGAATCAGAGTGTGTCTGCAAATACTACCTACACACTGACCACAGATGGACTATACAATGTCACCAGTATTGCAACAGTCAAGCCAGAAACAGGAGAAAACTATAGCTGCATGTTCTGGAATAAAGAATTGAATGAAGCAACTTTGGCTTCTGTTTCCACATTAGGTTTGTATCTCTCTTTGAATCTCTTTGAATTTGTACATGGGGGCTTCCCCAAAAGGGTGCCTGTGTGAGTGTGTGACTGATTGATTCTAAAAACAGATTGCATGCTTTTATAGATATATTTTTTATATATGTAATGCATGATTGACTGTAGGAAATTGTGATGCGGCCTAATATAATGCATTACTACAATTACTGATATTATTTCCTAGAAAGCAGTGTGGCATTTTTTAAAAGGAAAATAAGACAGACATTATATTTGCCTTTGGAAATCTGCCATTTTATTAATGTTTCTGAACTCAGTTCACTATAGACACTTTTGTCATTTCTCTTCTAAATTCTAGGATAGCTCCTGTTTGCCCGGTTGCCAGTACAATGGTATTCCTCAATATATACCTCCAATACGCTTGGCACTCTATTGCCTGGAATTGTATCTAACTAATCTTCAGTATACATACTGCTGATTTATAATGGCACTTGCTAAATTGCCATGCATAGTACGGACCAACAGTTATTTACTATAATGTCCCATTACAACAATATGGCAGGGGAAAATGGCCTTAAAAGTGTACATAAAAATTTACACTGACTCAGTGTAGTGATCTTATGCTTTGCCAGCATGGTACAAAGAGACCTTAATACAAATGAGAATCAGACTGGATTATTTTATAAACTATATTTGCTTATTTTTTTAATAGGTCTAGTCAGTTCGGAAAATGTTGGACAAAAACCTCCAATCTTATTTATCGTCCCAACGTGTGTAATAGCAGTTATTTTCCTATCTGCAATCTTGATTTTTTGGAGGAAAAAAACATTTACAAAGTTTCATGGGAAAAAAGGTACATTTTTACTTTTTTAAACACATTTTCTCTCTTCTACTTTGCACTTAAGTGACCTTTCAGAACCCAGATGATCTCTAATCTGAAAGAGACAGATTGCTTCATTTGTGTTTGCTTTTATTTTCCTCATCACATAGCTTTATACATGATCCAGATTATATGAATACAATTATGCTATATGCCACACAGGAAACCCTCACTATTTGCAGGTTCAGCACTTGCGGTTTCAAATATTCACGAATGCCAAACCCACTTCTTAAATACACTTAAAGGAGCTCCTCGGGAGCTCTGTGCTTGCCCCCATGCCCTCCCAGATGCCAGGGGCACTGAGTTCATGAATGCAGACGGCATTCACGAACGCAGTGCCTTATTTGCAGATTTTGCCATTTACAGGGGATACGAGAACCTATGCCCTGCAAATGGTGAGGGTTGCCTGCACTCTGTTGGTGACAACCATCAATCCTCCTGGATCATGGTGATCATGAGAGCCACCCAGATCTTCCTGAACAGGAATTTTTTGGAGGAGTGGAGGCTGCCCAGACCTTCCATCCTGCTTTATGGCAACTGAGACAGAAACCAAAGACCAGACTGAGTCCAGATGTTTGGTGCTTCCATGGCTGTAGTTGTGTAAGTGTCTGGGAATCAAACCCAAGTCTCCTGCATACTAGACAAAGATTCTACCACTGAACCACAGGGGACTCCCATACTCTGTTAGAATAATATTATCCATATCTATTTGTTATATTTGGTTTACATTCTTCCACTCCTATCTTTTACTATATGAAGAAAAACAGAGTGGAAAGCCAATAACAGGTAGTAGCCTATTATTCCTCTCTGGTCTTGTTACAGAATCATCTCTCCTGTAGATGAGCTTTAATTCCTGTGATACACAGCTAAATTGGAATAAGGATGATAGGTCAATTCTTGTAGCAAAGAACAGAAGGGTTTGACACTGTAGTTGGAGAAGAAAAGAACTTTGGAGAAACCTATGAAAAGTTTAAGAGCCATAAGCATAAGAAAAGCCCAAAAAACCTGTTTGGGATCTACAAATTTATTGGATTGGATTGTTACTTTTTAAGTAAAATTTTCTAATGAGTGTTTGCCTACATTTGCTTTTAACAGACAAAAGACGACAAATCCATCATTTATCCAGGGAAGAGAACAGTAAGTCACAGATCTTCAAACTTTCTGTTTATGGCTTTTTCTTTCTAATAGTAACATCTGCATCAATATATGAACATTTAAAGCATGATAATGCACGAGGAAACACTATGGAATTTAGAGTCTAAATGCTACTTTCCTTAAAACTGTTATAATCCTAGTAAGAATGCTTTTCAGATTCTAAATATAGTCCCATAGCTTTCCAGACAACACCAACATTTGTAAATGACAAAGTACAAGTTATCTCCCTTCTGAGGCTGTATCCTTTCTGGTGGATATCAGAGTTTTCCACACTTCAATCTGGAACTGTAAAGGATGCTCAGTTAACTCCGTTTCAGAAAGCATGAAGTTTTCTGTAGTGGCGATTTATAACTGTTCATACTTCTCCTTCGTCTTTTGACTCAGATTCAGTATAAGAATTGATGTGGCATTTGTCTGGAGAGTATTTCCTGTCCTAATAGATTAACTTGATAACCTAATAGGTCTTTTCCCATCTTTAACTGTTATGAATGAATAACTTTCTTTGACACATTGAAATTTCTGCATAGTAAAGAGCAGGTAATTTCCAAATATCTCAGAGTTTCACAAACCATATCACAATAGAACTTTCACTTTAAAAAACAAGACAAATATCAAGCTATAAACACTGATAACATAGCGCTAAAAATCCCTGTTTCTATAGTCAGGTTTGTGATACTGTAGTTGAAAATCTGCATAAAGGAGTTCATTCAGCATTACATGCTCTTAGTCAATAACATTTTGAAGACAGAGCCAGGAGAAAATCTTCATGGAAGATTGTTTTTTGCCAGGGACTAGATTCCATAGGTTATAGCTAAAATAATGGGTGTATTCTGATAAGGCTGACTTGTATCATAATGTGGGTACAAGTGAGTCTGACTGGCCAAATTAAAATTTTCCTGACACACGTAACCCACATGGCATGTGGTCAGTGTAGCTGATTTTGCTTTACCAACCTGCTTCTTAAGCTCATAATAAAGATATGCAAAGAGAGAGGGATAGTGGCTACAAGGTTGCAGTACTCTGACAATTTCTGGTGCTAAAATGCTCAAATTGCTAGAATGGTCTCTTGAAAGCCACTGGAACTGGTCATCTGAGCATCCTTGAGACTGCTTTAAGTTTCTCCATGGGCTAACACTGCTCCCAAGACCCAAGGACAGAAGTATACAGAACACAACTTTGGCACATATGAGATTTTGGTCCAATAATGGGAATAGCCTTTGGAGAAGCAAGCTGAAGTTTTTAAGAATATCCATCTCATACCTTCTCCAAAGTTCAAATCAAATTGAAAATCTGTTCCATTTTCCCACAATAAAAAGACAAATCAGAAGGTAGCCTGGTGACAAGATGACTCTGAGCTTGTACAGAAGAAGCATAGATTAGGACCTGGATTAATGAAAAATGGGTTCTTCATAGACTCAATGGGTGTGTCCACACATGCAAGCATGTGTGCTTGCAGCAGCTCAAATAGAAGCAGTGCAAATTTGAGCCGGGGCTTTTTGCCTCAGTGCACGTGCTCAGACATGCACTTCGGTGTGGAGCAAATTGTGCCACTTGGGGCAAAATAACCCTGCCTGGTTCCTCCCGGATCTGCAGCCAGGGGGACCTAGAGCCCGGGGCCAGCTGTCCCCAGCAGTATAAAAAGCTTCCCTGTCCTGGCCTCATCCATACAAAAAGCTACCCTGGCAAGCAGCTGAGGTCTACTCGCTCTCAGGAGCTTCTGGGGCCCAGCCACTTGGTACCTGGGGACACTACCCCTTGTGCCAGCTGAACTGCTGCAGCAGCATCCCAAATCCATTTTTAAAAATACCCCCAAATCCATGTTTTTCCACAGTTAAAATAAAAGACCACTCTACACACACACATATATATCTAGAGAGAGAGAGAAAGAGAGCGAGAGCAAGAGTGCACGATCTGTTGGGCAATGCTTTATTGGTATATTTACAATGTTAAAGCAATGTGGAAGCCTACCAGTGTCTCTATCGTCATGATAAAATAAATTCTAAATACCTATATGTGTTGATGTGTACTTTTGCTTTTCCTCGCACATGATGGGTGTGTGATGGCAGGATGTAGTGTTTGCAGGAAGTGGGTGGGAAGGCGTGTGGGGGAAGGCAGATGGGTGTCTGTGGATACTCAGGAGGGGTGGGTCCCCTGGCCCCCACAGGGTGCAGCCTCCCCCACACAGCACATGGAATGCCCTGCCCCCCCCACCAGGGCCCCAGCTCCCCTCTGGAGGGCCACAGTCCCTATCCCCCACAGGGCCCCAGCCCCCCTGCCCAGAGTCCCAGGCACCCTGGAGGGCCACAGCCCCCACTCCAAGGGTCTCAGCTCCCCTTGGAGGGCCACAACCCCCCTGCCCAGGGTCCCAGGCATGCTGGAGGGCCATAGCTCTACCTGCCCAGGGTCCCAGGCTCCGTGGAGGGCCACAGCCCCCCTGCCCAGGGCCCGTAACTTACCTTTAGCAGCAGCAGTGGGAGTGGGGCGCTTTGAGCCATGGCAGCAGGACCCGGCACAGCACATGGGGACCACGTGCCAGGCCCAGCCATGTCCTGCCACTCTTGAGGACTGTCTGCCACTAGGCCGGGCCAGGCCCTTGGTGGCAGGACCTGGCGCGGCACGTGGGGACTGCGTGCTGAGCCCAGCTGAGTTCTGTCACCTTTGGGGCCCCTCAGTCACCTGACCAGGCCGGGCTCATGGCAGCAGGACCCAGCGCAGCATGCGAAGACTGTGCACCACACCCAGATGGGTCCTGCCAGCCCTGGGGCTGCTCCTGCTGGCCGGCCAGCCTGGCTAGGCAGCAGGAGCAGCCCCAAGGCCAGCAGGACCCGTCTGGGCATGGCACATGGTTCCCGCATGCCGCGCTGGGTCCTGCCACCAAGGGCCCTGCCCGGCCAGGCGGCAGAGGGGCCCCAGGGCCAGCAGGATCTGGCTGGGCGCAGCACGCGGTCCCTGCACGCCACACCGGATCCTGCTTCTGCCCCGCTGTGCCTGCAGGGGTGTGGTGCATGGTGGGACCCGGTCCAGCCCCATGTGGCTCGCTAGTCTTGTTTTGCACCGGAGTCGGTCACACGGCTCAGGGAGGCACACGTCCTGTGTGTGCCTCCTGGAGCCCTAAGACCTGCTTTGGTGCAAAGCTGGACTAGTGAGCCCCCTATATGCCCCTGCTATCCCTCACCCACCCACACCCATGACCTCCCCCACCCCCCCCGCACCCCACACACACACTTACCTTGGACAGCACTGGGGGCCGGAGGCAGCAGGAGAACAAAAGAGATGCCCTGGCTGACCCCAGAGTGTTTCTTTTGGAGGACTGACTCCTGACTCCCTGGCATGGTCTGGGACCATGCCTTGCTCCGCTCTTCTGCAGAGCAGTTTTTTTAGATCCCTGGATATCCAGGGGTCTAATTTTCTCGCCACGCTGCAACGTTGCAGCGTGGGGAACATTTTTTCGTTCCTGCATGTTCCTCTTGCCTCGCCTCAAAGGGGTTTGAGACGGGGCAAGAGGCACATATGTGCTCGTCTGGACGCGCCCTGTGAGTCTGAGTGATATTTAGTGCAGATTTCCTTCAAATGTCCAATACAGTAATCAGCACCGACAGCAGTCCCTTGATTCAAGGATGATCTCTACCACGACTCATTAATGGGTCTTGAAGTGATTTAAGTGTCCAATCATTGAGCCACAGACCCATCTGCAGAAGTTGCAGGTCCTTCAGTGGGAGAGAATAGATTGTAGGCTAGGATTTCTCCCCTTTTCCTTCCTCTGCTCTCTTTTCTCTGCTTTGAGAGCAAGACGCTTTACCTTGAAACAGGCTACCAGTAGTGTGAGGTTGTGGCGCCATTGGAGTCAGTCAGCAACCAGCTCCTCTCAGCTCTTGATGTTAGCATCCATTCTTTTGAGGTATGCCTTCAATGTGTCCTTGTAGTGTTTCCTTTGGATAACATGACATCTCAGGCTATTATTAAGCTGGGAGTAAAGTACTTGTTTTGGGCATCTGTACACAATGTCCGGTGCAGTGAAGTAGGTGCTTGAGGATCACTGACTCAGTGCTGGAAATATTCACTTCAGCAAGGATGCTGACATTTGTGCAACAATCTTCCTATTTAATATGGAGGATTTTCCACAGGCATTGTTGGTGATACCTTTCTAGGCTTTTGAGATGCTGATGACACACACTTTTCATATCCATAGAGAACAGTGGGGATGATGACTGCATTGTAAACTTAGATCTTGCTGTCTTTCTGGAGATTGTGATGAATAAAGACATGCTGAAGCAATTTCCCAAAGAAGACACTTGTGCACCAGATCCTGTTCTGGATCTCCTCATTGGTGTTTGCATTCTGAGAGAGAGGTGTCTACAGAGGTAGGAAAGTGCTTGACAATCTCCCAGGTCTTTTCCTCAATGGTAATTTGGGACAGAGTGTCACATTCATGTCCCAGGGCAGGCTGATAAAGCCCTTTAGTCTTCGCCATGTTGAGAG